GGGGGGGGGGGGGGGGGGGTTAAATCCTCGACTACGGGGTACAACCATGGATTATTCTTGTGAAAGTTAGTAACAACGAACAGAAATGTCTAAAATAGGAATTTACTCTACCAAACACATAGAAAATCCTTCAAGTTTTTGGGGGTAGGGTAAGTGGAAGATGAGAAAAATTATCTTGGGTGCACTTTTTTCTTCTTCTTTACTTGGCTATTGTTGCAGTCATGGATTGTGGTCATGCACCCAAACTTCCTCTTCATTTCTTTCCACAAACTAATCCTATTATCATTCTTCACTTTATTATTGCACATCCCTTTCTGAATCTCCATCCTCATCATACTGCATTCCTTCTCTAGCTCCAACACCTTGTTTCCCATATTTTCCATATCTGCCCTCGCCTTGCCTTCCAACTCTTCTTCATATTTATGCGGTCCCACCCAAAGCGAACTCCCGTTGTGATTACCAGTCTGTTGAATCATCTCCTTGCCGATTGTGTCCCTCAACCTCAGTTGCCCCGCGAACAGTACCTGTACTACCAGCCTGAGGGGCAAACGGTCATTGTGCGCAGCATGCTGGCAGGCTTCCGGCGACAATTTGCTGCAATCAAGAACGCTGCACACCTTCTCCCTCTCGCATTGCGTCAGATACTTGTGCTTCTCCAAGTAAATGTCTATGGCTCTGTATATCCCGTCCAAGTTTCCTTTGGCTTCGTCCGATACGGAGAATGACAACTCCGCGAGTGATTTGAATGTGTCCACTTTCAAGTCCAAGTCATTCGCGACCTCACCCAAGAACTCCTCCATGAGGTTTGCCACTTTAACCAACCCTGAGAACTCAGAACTCGCATAGTTCTCGTAGTAGTTTGACAATATCCTCTTTATGCATTCCGTGTCATACATTTCATCTCTCGCGTATCCCCAATGAGGAATGAGCAATTCCTTGACCGTTGCCCGATCGAGTTGTTTCCCGATCCTCAACTCTAACCCGCCCCTGCATTCCACGCCAGCATCCAGTGATATCGCAGACTGTAACATCTCAAAAAGAGATTTGGTTGAAACCAACCCTTTGTCACGAGGCAACACCCTCTCAATCGCTTCTATTATCTCTCTCATGGAGTTTCTCTTATACGCCGTGGATTCGTCTTCTCCTTCTACTCCACCATACACCCAATTCTTCGCGTATTGACATAGCGACGCGGCAATGTATTCTTGCGAAACGTTGCGGTGAACCATTTCGCGTATGATGGGTTCGTAAAGATGAACGGACAGAATCGTCAGGTCTTCTGATTTCCAATCAAAATTCTTATTCCTCTCTGGTTCAAGCTCTGCGAGAAGCGAAGGGTCATCCAGGGCCTTGGTGATGATGGAGTCCACGCAAGCTCGGACCAAACCAAGCGCCATTGCAGGGTGGAGGACAGTTTCTGCAGATTTTAGGGCCTTGATGGTTCTGTTCCAGCTGGAGAGGACTCTGTGGTTGAAGTAATGGGTTGCAATGGTGAGAAGGTTGTTTGGGGAGTGGTTCTCAGTCATGCCGAGGTGGTGCGCGACGCAGAAAACCCGGACAACGTTCTTCGGCGTGAGGTTGATTCCGTAGCCGTGGCAGAATCTTGCAACAAGCTCAAATGTTTGTGGGTCTATGGGGATCTCTCCTGCTTCCAGTAATTGGGACAGATCTTGTTGAGGATTGTTCTTTAGTAGTGTGGCCACCTTTGCAGATTTGTCAGCAAGAAGTTCCTGACATATTTGATTGTTTGTCAAACATTAGTGACATGTTTTGTGAGCAAAGTTTTAGGTATGTTTTTTTTCAAGAGAAGATTGTGTTTGTCAAACCAAAGGTACTAATTAAGGCTATAGTCCACCTGTCCCATAAAAAGTTTGGATCATTCTATAGTCACACTAAAGAGAGACATAGACATTTATCATCTTGATTGCACAAATAATCATGATCATTATCTGTATATATTTGTGGAACACATAATGTCAAATTTGGTACCAAAAGATTGATATGACTCTATATCCAAAAATATTTTTTCTACTTTTCATTATTTGTCGATTCTTTAATATATACTCTATATTTTTTTGGAGAAGGAAACGAGTAGTTTAAAATAGTCTTCATTCAGAACAAAATCTAATTACTCACATTTTACTTTTTGAAATTTTTTCAATAAATTTTCTACTAGTTGGCAATAACAACGTTTTGAACAAGTTGTCTAAGGCTTTCTTTGGAAATTATATTTTCGATTAAAGTTAAGATCTTGAATAGATTAATTTTGAAAATGTTATAATTAAACGTTGTGGTTATATTTTTTTTTCAAAGTTTCCAAAATCACTCTCTGTGAGCACAATAAGTACCTTGTTCAATGAATAATGGACTCCACCGATGTGCAGTAGTTGATGATCCAGGCATGCGTTCTTCTTGGATCTCCTACACAAGTTCCCCAAAACACAATTAATCAATTTTTTTGTCCCAACAATCCTAACTCAAAATATTTCCCAAAAATTATCAGTAAGTTTTTATTTACATGGTCAAATAATATCTCTTTTCGATTACTATTTTTATTTACTGATGCCATAAAAATTGTGTTTAAACTTTATCATTCTCTGTCCGCCCTGTTCCCAACGCACGTCCCCCGCCCCCACCCTCATA